ACAATTATAGATAAAGATAATAAAATTGCGTTCTTGATAGACGTTTCTATCCCAAATACAGGCAATATCCAAGCTGCATATGCTGAAAAAATTAGAAAATATTCCGAATTACTTCTTGAAGTAAAACAGCTATGGCAGGTTAAAGCAGTATACATCTTGCCCATAATTATATCTGCTACAGGAGTAGTACCACGCAATCTCCATGAAGCTCTGAAAAAGTTAGAGGTACCATCATCAATATATATTAAAATGCAGAAGGCAGTAGTTCTTGGTACCTGCAACATGGTCAGAAAATTTCTCGGGGAATAAAAAGAAAAAACAAGAAAAGCTTCTTTACCTTGGTTCGACCCGTAAAGATAGTACCTACCGTTTAAAATACGAGATAAACCAAAAATAATAATAATAATAATAATAATAATAATAATAATAATAATAATAATAATTAATAATAATAATAATAATAATAATAATAATAATAATAATAATAATAATAATAATAATAATAATAATAATAATAATAATAATATTAATAATAATAATAATAATAATAATAATAATAATAATAATAATAATAATAATAATAATAATAATAATAATAATAATAATAATAATAATAATAATAATAATAATAATAATAATAATAATAATAATAATAATAATAATAATAATAATAATAATAATAATAATAATAATAATAATAATAATAATAATAATAATAATAATAATAATAATAATAATAATAATAATAATAATAATAATAATAATAATAATAATAATAATAATAATAATAATAATAATAATAATAATAATAATAATAATAATAATAATAATAATAATAATAATAATAATAATAATAATAATAATAATAATAATAATAATAATAATAATAATAATAATAATAATAATAATAATAATAATAATAATAATAATAATAATAATAATAATAATAATAATAATAATAATAATAATAATAATAATAATAATAATAATAATAATAATAATAATAATAATAATAATAATAATAATAATAATAATAATAATAATAATAATAATAATAATAATAATAATAATAATAATAATAATAATAATAATAATAATAATAATAATAATAATAATAATAATAATAATAATAATAATAATAATAATAATAATAATAATAATAATAATAATAATAATAATAATAATAATAATAATAATAATAATAATAATAATAATAATAATAATAATAATAATAATAATAATAATAATAATAATAATAATAATAATAATAATAATAATAATAATAATAATAATAATAATAATAATAATAATAATAATAATAATAATAATAATAATAATAATAATAATAATAATAATAATAATAATAATAATAATAATAATAATAATAATAATAATAATAATAATAATAATAATAATAATAATAATAATAATAATAATAATAATAATAATAATAATAATAATAATAATAATAATAATAATAATAATAATAATAATAATAATAATAATAATAATAATAATAATAATAATAATAATAATAATAATAATAATAATAATAATAATAATAATAATAATAATAATAATAATAATAATAATAATAATAATAATAATAATAATAATAATAATAATAATAATAATAATAATAATAATAATAATAATAATAATAATAATAATAATAATAATAATAATAATAATAATAATAATAATAATAATAATAATAATAATAATAATAATAATAATAATAATAATAATAATAATAATAATAATAATAATAATAATAATAATAATAATAATAATAATAATAATAATAATAATAATAATAATAATAATAATAATAATAATAATAATAATAATAATAATAATAATAATAATAATAATAATAATAATAATAATAATAATAATAATAATAATAATAATAATAATAATAATAATAATAATAATAATAATAATAATAATAATAATAATAATAATAATAATAATAATAATAATAATAATAATAATAATAATAATAATAATAATAATAATAATAATAATAATAATAATAATAATAATAATAATAATAATAATAATAATAATAATAATAATAATAATAATAATAATAATAATAATAATAATAATAATAATAATAATAATAATAATAATAATAATAATAATAATAATAATAATAATAATAATAATAATAATAATAATAATAATAATAATAATAATAATAATAATAATAATAATAATAATAATAATAATAATAATAATAATAATAATAATTTCCTTGAAAAGCAACAGACTTCAGAAATGCATCTTGCAGTTGTAACAATTGACGATAACTATTCACCGCTTAATTTAAGTAAAGATGGTGAATTTTCACTCACAAGCAACGCTGAGAAACATCAAGCTTGGCTTCAAAAAGCGCTACATGGAAAACATGCACAGGCACTAAACCAACCACATGTCGACAAGATTGCATCCAACGCATGGCTTTCTTACAGTTCTCTATTTCCGGAAACAGAAGGGTTTATGATGGCCATCCAAGATCAAGTGATAAGTACAAAAAACTACAAGAAACATGTTATAAGGGATGGCACCGAAGATGACGCATGTAGAAGATGTAAATCTGCCGTTGAAAATATTCAACATATAATTTCCGGATGTCAAGTACTAGCACAAACGGAATATAAAGTTAGACATGATAATGTAGCGAAAATATTGCATGATCAGTTGTCTGTAAATTACAAATTAAAAAAAAAAACCACTCCCTACTACAAGTGTAACCCTCCAAAAATTTTGGAAAATAGTTCAGCTCGAATATACTGGGACCGAGGACTCTTAACCGATAGAACAGTATCTCATAATAGGCCAGATATAACAATTATAGATAAAGATAATAAAATTGCGTTCTTGATAGACGTTTCTATCCCAAATACAGGCAATATCCAAGCTGCATATGCTGAAAAAATTAGAAAATATTCCGAATTACTTCTTGAAGTAAAACAGCTATGGCAGGTTAAAGCAGTATACATCTTGCCCATAATTATATCTGCTACAGGAGTAGTACCACGCAATCTCCATGAAGCTCTGAAAAAGTTAGAGGTACCATCATCAATATATATTAAAATGCAGAAGGCAGTAGTTCTTGGTACCTGCAACATGGTCAGAAAATTTCTCGGGGAATAAAAAGAAAAAACAAGAAAAGCTTCTTTACCTTGGTTCGACCCGTAAAGATAGTACCTACCGTTTAAAATACGAGATAAACCAAAAATAATAATAATAATAATAATAATAATAATAATAATAATAATAATAATAATAATAATAATAATAATAATAATAATAATAATAATAATAATAATAATAATAATAATAATAATAATAATAATAATAATAATAATAATAATAATAATAATAATAATAATAATAATAATAATAATAATAATAATAATAATAATAATAATAATAATAATAATAATAATAATAATAATAATAATAATAATAATAATAATAATAATAATAATAATAATAATAATAATAATAATAATAATAATAATAATAATAATAATAATAATAATAATAATAATAATAATAATAATAATAATAATAATAATAATAATAATAATAATAATAATAATAATAATAATAATAATAATAATAATAATAATAATAATAATAATAATAATAATAATAATAATAATAATAATAATAATAATAATAATAATAATAATAATAATAATAATAATAATAATAATAATAATAATAATAATAATAATAATAATAATAATAATAATAATAATAATAATAATAATAATAATAATAATAATAATAATAATAATAATAATAATAATAATAATAATAATAATAATAATAATAATAATAATAATAATAATAATAATAATAATAATAATAATAATAATAATAATAATAATAATAATAATAATAATAATAATAATAATAATAATAATAATAATAATAATAATAATAATAATAATAATAATACTCAGGGCACACGAATAGCGGAACTCGGCAGTGTCTGGCTCCGCGGTGTGGAGAGTCGCTGAGTCGCTGTCGTTTTAATTAATCGGCTCGACCCTCTAGTTGTCGGAGACGGAGGGCTCGACACCGATTGAAAAATTCACATAAGAATGATAATAATAATAATAGGGGGGTGGGTTGGCTCAGTGGTTAGAGTCATGACTTTGAGATCGGAAGGTCTCAGGATCGAATCCCACCGTTGGCCGGGATTTTTTCATTTAATTTAATTATTTAAAATTAATTCTGATGCCTTGGTAGGATTCCCTTCTCGACCATTCACTGTTGGGTTCTAATTAACAGTGCTGTTCCTAAAGTGGCGCTGGGAAACAGTAACAAAGCTTACATAGAACACGAGGCTAATGGCCGTAGTAGTCGACGCCGATGACACCAAATAAAAAAAATAATAATAATAAAAAACGCCATCAAGAAACTGTAGCTTCATATAAACTCTAGGAATGATTAACATAGGTGGGAAAAATATGTCACCTGCACTCAAGCAAATTACACCTGTAGACAGCTCCTCACGTTCGGCAGTCGTCAGGATATCCACTTATTTTTGACTGGCAGCTATTATTTGACAGGTCATTGGAATGCCTGATCAAAGTGTCATTAATAAAAGAAAACCAAATGGATATTTTCAGTTTTATTGAAATAAGTCAAAAACTACGTTACTTTTATTAATTTTGCAATTTTGCAAACTTATTCAAATTTTACATCAAATTCTCTGAAACATTCCCCATTTAACCGACCTTGTGACATAGTGTATAATGTATGGTCTACGTCTTACGCTGTTACTTATAATGAAAACTTATTACTGACAGACGAACAAGGGAAGTGTCTTCATGTATATAGCAGACGATGCTGATTAGTAATTTGTTGAAATCTTATATTTAAATTAAAAATTTGGATATTGGCTAAATGGTTAAAATATAATACATAGAATACAAACTTTTCTTATTTAATTTTTTTTTTTTTAATTTCAGATAGCAACTGTGATATATCCGACGTAAGCTCGGATGACTGGCAAAATGCTGCACTAACAAAAAATATATTGGATAATGTTAAGGTTAATGATAATTTATTTGTCAGTAAATATACAGGAAAAATAGGTAAGTACCTCATTATTATTAATTATATTAACTGACAGATCACTAAATATGGGAATTGCAACATCTCTTTTATATTTAGATTTTTTAAATATTACTTTGGTAGTCCTTACCAAAAAGTCTTGTCGGGTGTTCCTCAAGGGTCATAAGTGTGTAAAAATCATGTTTAATTACAATCATTTGCTGACGATACAGAGTTATATTTGTTGTTCATCGTTTGCTGGAAATAGATTAACAGTAGTAAAAGGTATATTGTTAATGCGGTATCTGGTGGATTTATTTATTAATTGAAGTAGATTTGAGTCTACAAAAACTAGATGAATACTGTAGTGGCATTATTATTGTTGGGAATATGGATAATTGGCCAGAAAATGTCAGAGAAATTGAAATTTCCTATAATGATTAAATTATCTAGTGTAGATAATTCTAGTAAATATTTTGTCACAGATCGGTGATGTTTTTTTCTCGAAGTCTGTTCAAAGGGTTTCATCCGCCGTAACGGGTAGAATTGTGGACCGTAGTAACTGATGAATCTTATAGAAAGCATTGACGCTTGATTACAAGGTGATGTGGAATGCAGAAATTAAAGTAATTTACTTTGTAATGACGTCAATTTTCGTTAATATTTTTTTTAACTAATTCCTGGTATAAATTTTGATTTTTACTTAATTTTAACTTCGTGGCTATACCCTGTATATCAGCTTGTCGAAATTCATACCAAATCGTCCAAACACTCTGCGTGCGCGACTTGTAATGGTGGGGTCTCTGTTAGTGGGAGAGCAATCGACATCTGATGGGCTGAACAAGATCCGAGATTCAAATAAGAATTGCTCCCGAGCAGTGGCTACTCGTGAGCAAAAAATTGGGGATTCACAATGATAGAATATAGATCTCAGTACAGATTTAGGTAAAAAACTTTCAATTTTTATAATACACCTTTCCAAACACTGAAAGCTTTTTACCTAAATCTGTACTGAGATCCATATTCTCTCATTGTGAACCCCCAATTTTTTGGCCACAAGCCGCCACTGCTCGCGAGAGATACAATTTTAAACCGATAAAAATTTCTAGCAGCGATCTTGACGATAGGTAAATTGTTGTCATTGTTTTTATAAATTGTTTTTTTTTTCGCTTGAGACTTTAAGCCGTGCTATTAGAAACCGTTTTATTTTGATTTATTTTTAACTAATATTATTGAGTTGAGAATTGAAACTTGTTTTAATTAAGAAATACTTTAATTTGTTCTTGTTAGAATGCACCGTTTTTTTTTTGGAATTTCATTTCAGTTTATTTAAGGCTTTAACTGTTAAATAATTTATTTTTCATGCTAACGTAAATATAGTCGTATTGTTAATTTTTCCTATTGTAAATTTCCGTAGAAAAATCATAAATTTAATTTTAGTTTATTTAAAGCTTTAACCAATAAATAATTGGTCGGAATTGTCTAATATTTTGATTTGTTACCTTAATAAAATTGCGACGAAACATTTTCTTTTATTTTACACTCCGAACCGCAAATTTATGCGAACTTAAATAGTACCATTCCCCTGTCTGAAGCGGCTCGTGATAACGATCACTTAATTCAGAGATAATGTGCTATCCCAATTATTAGTTTATTTTACGTCTGAAACACTCGTTTGCGTAAGTCTCCGTTATTTTAAGTGAACTTAAATTGTATCATTTCCTTATCTGAAGCGGCTCGTAATTACGATCACTTCATTCAGAGATAATGTGATATCCCGGTTGTTAGTTGGTTTTACTTTCCAACCACTAGTTTGAGTAAACTTCTTATAGAGTCCCGGTTTCGGCCCTGAAAGTAGTACTGTCACGAATCTGTCTCCTCGAATTCTCTGCAACCGTATATTTAATTTTTTTTAAATTTTTAATTTCTAATACTTGTTCTTTTTAACCGACTTCAAAAAAGGAGGAGGTTCTCAATTCGTCGTAATATATGTTTTTTAATGTATATTCAGCGATAATTCTTTAACATGGTGTCCGATTTTAATGATTCCTTTTTTGTTAGAAAGGGGCCACTTCAGTAGTGGTCTCATATTAATTTGGTCAAAATCTAATAATTGGGTCCATGAGAAAATCCTCAAACTCTTCATTTTTTATATATGTTTAGCGATAATTCTTTACCACCTTGTCCGATTTCTATAATTATTTTTTTGTTAGGAAGGGGATGGCTCAGGGGTAGTTCCATATACAATTGTTTAGGATCTGATGCTCTATAAGAAAATCAAAAATCTCAATTTTTAAGGGCATCTGCACGATTTTGAAGTCGGTTTTTTAATTAAAAAATTATTATATATACTACGTATAACTTCACAAATTTAATGGCGTGGATTGTTGTCTGCTGTAGATATTTTCTTTTCCAATCTGTTTAGTTTTAAACCAGTTTTAGAGAAATCAAAATATTTATAATTTAATTTTCTTTAATAAAAATATAAAATTTTTCAGAAAACTTGGCATCTAAGTGCCGTTGCGGAGCAGCTGATTGTCCAAGAGACTACTTGAAGTTCTCAACAAATAATACGCACTTTTTTATGACATTTGCTGAAGGCATGAAGAATTTCGACGAGGACATGATCAAAATTAGTTGCCTAGGAAATGTTGTGTATTCGATATCCATGACATGTCAAACTGAAGTCCGAAGTACCTTGGTAAGTGCTTACATTAATGTATATAGAGCATTCAATATAAAAACCGATACACGTCATCAATCAGTTGTGAAGTCATAGCCTTGCAGTGTTGCCCAATCTTCAAAATAATCTAAGAATGTGGGAATTTTTAAAACTATGAGGTTATGGTTTTTTGGCTATGTTATTAGGAACAATTAATTTTAAATGTATAATGAATTCTATATAAAAGCCAATGAAGGTCATTGATAATGTTTAAATTGAAGTTTTAGAAAAAAACTGAATTTAATAGTAATAAATTTTGCACAAGAGGTTTAAAATTACAAAAAAAGGTTAGGTTAAGGATGAAAAAACAAACAAATTTTATTTAGGCTTGATTTAATTTACAATAAAAAATAATTATGTTCAGTTAGTTTATAAACATCCATATTTAAAAGTAGTAACAATAATTAGAACAGTTAGGTAATAAAATTAACAACACATGACATTTTAAAACTTAAATAATATTTAAGCTAAAATCAGTCAGAATAATTAGAACTAAAATCAGAATCATCTCTATTTGGTGTTATAATAATGGGAGCAATTTCCAATAGGTACAGTATGTGCTCTCTTTCACACCACTTAAAAATTTCTTTTTCAGTGTGTCTTACATTGTTTGCCCACATTTGTGGGGTAATGGTTCGGAGTGCTTCAGACCACATGTCTATACAAACTCTTTGTGTCTTTCCATCCCGACCAATGTGCCTGTTAGAGTATTGATTTGAAATACCCCAAATCAGTTCTATTGGATTAAAAATACAATGGTAAGGAGGAAGACGTAACACCTTATGTCCATACTGTTTAGCCAGCATATCACCTACATATATTTTTGGTGGTTTATTACTAAAAAATTAAAATCAATTACAAAATACAGAAAAAGTAGATTTCCATTACCCACCGTCTAACAAGGTTCAAAAGTTCAGCCTGAAACATGGTGACTGAATAAGGTATGTTCTGATTCGTCAACCACTCTTGAATTTGAACCTTAGTCGATTTATTATTCGGTGTTTTGTGTGCCAATGTGCTATGGTATGAAGCATTGTCCATTACAGTTAAAGATGGTTCATGCAGTCTTCGAAGCAATTGTTCTTCGAACCATTTTAAAAAAATTTCATTATTCATCTCACCGTGATATAATCATTGCTTTATGAAGCAAATATGGCCTCGGCACCATCAATAAATCCATTTTCGTTTCCAGCATGAAGAATTATATATCTATAAAAAAGATCAATATACAGTTAACATATATATATATATTAATTAGTTTTTTTTATTTATTAACCTTTTACCATCAACTTTTGTACTTTTTACACTTCTTTTATTGCTGTCTTGCCAAGAACGGTTTATGGTGCCTTTTTGGAAAATCCAAGTCTCATCAATAAAAACAAACTGGTACAAATTTGCTTCATTTTCTTTGGTATATTTTCTTAAAAATTCTGTCCGTTTCACGGCAATATCTGGAAGGTTCATAAGACCTCGCCTTGGTTCATTTTTCTGCCTATTGAAACCTATTTCTAATAATAAGGTATGCAATGATGTGCGACATCCATTGAACAATTCCGTCTCATTAAGTTTCACCAACAAAGAATCTAAACTTACATGCTCTTCTGAAATCATACATTAATTTGTAATTGTTTAATAAGAATTTATATACATATACACTTACTAGACTCGTACATGCTATTACTAACATTTCGAATAGCACTGGTGTTCAGAATTCTTGTGTTGGTAACTTTCTTTTGCCTAAAATTTAATTATTTTTATTAGTGTGTGTGGTGCCAATGACTGTCACTGACGTCATCTCTGACGTGCATCGGTTTTTATATTTAATGCTCTATACAATGTAGTGATAAAGTAAGAAAGAAAATTAATGTTTTCGAGCAAAACGCTCAGACAGGTCAACTTTAATATTTAATTAGTCACCTTATAGCATAAAATTTTTACTTATGACGTAATGTATTTTTGCACAATGACGTCATCATTGGTTTTTTAAATGGCAACCCTGATTTTTTTTGCTGTTTTTAATAGATAGTCCAATTACTTAAATTATGGTGTAAAAAAATTTGTACCTTAAATAACAATTTTTTTTTAAATAACTTACCGAAAGAAATCAAAATTTAACTTTAATGAAAGAAAATCCTAATAACACCCCAAAAACAAACAAAATTAAGCGTAAATATTTAAATTACTCTCCTTCAACCATTTGGCACTGACCAATACGAGTGTAAACATGTTGTATACTTCACTCAAGGTCTTAAGGTGTAATGTGCTCCTCTTCAGCACGGATTCTTTGCCGTAGCTTATCTAAATTGTTTAGCCTATTAAAATACACCTTTGATTTTAAATTACTCCACAGAAAAAATCTAAGGAAGTCAGGTCTGGGGAACGCGGTGGCCACTCAATTGGTCTTCGACGTCCTATTCACCTTCCGGGAAACGTGGCATCAAGATATTGACGGACGGTTATTGTAAAGTAGGGAGGCGCCCCATCTTGTTGAAACCAAATGTTTTGAAGGGGCACATTTACTTCGTGATCATTGGGAAACATATAGTATGGAAGCATTGTATGTCCCGTGAGGAAGTTAATGAAGGGAAGGTACTAGTGGTACTATTCGATAGATAGAGACATGTACTCCAATAATTTTGATGGTGACACGTTCACAGATGTTGCGTGTGGCTATGATGACGTCACTCAAGATGGCCGACGCTTCATTATGAATCAAGTGACATATCTCTCCCTGCTGAACCGATTTCAATTTATTTTATTTTGATCGAATTCTTCGAATACTTTGACCAGACAGGAAATTATTGAAATCAGTCTGTAATTAGCAGTAACTGTTTTTTCTCCTTGTTTAAAAATTGGGGTTACTGTGACAAGTTTAAAGGCTGATGGAAAATGACCTTTCTCTAGTGATAAATTAATTAAATATGTTATTGGTTTTGTAATATGATCACTAATTCCGTTCAATAATTCCGCTTTTATACCATCCCAGCCCGGAGATTTATTATTTTTTAATTGCATTATGATCTGCTTAACTTCATTTTCATCGGTAGGATTAGATTTCTAAATGACCTGTATTCTAAAGTTAGATCCTCATATTTTCTATTGAAATTCAGAATTTTATTATTTACATTTTTTTTTTGTAGATTTTACTTCTCCAAGTCAGCGACTACAACGAACATCCCCCGGAAATAGCTCATGGCAGTACCACTTTTAAAGTACCATCTCCTCTCATGCCTATGGGCGACTTTATTATTTATGGTGACAAAATCTCAGCGACAGATAAGGATTTTAACAATACAGCAATCACTTTTAAAATCTCCCCTGACGATTTTGATATTATCACTACAGAAGATACATCTACGAAACCAGCAATATTCTACCCAACATTCAGAGCTAAACGGGTCATGCGCTTAACAAAAGATGGTGTGAAATATACCATTACTGCCACAGTAAGTTGAATATTAATCACGTCATTATTAGAAGTGTTTTTAAGAGTTTTTAAATTTATTTAAAGTCAAGTAAATGTTAGGATATTATGCATAGTATTTTAATCCATCAAACATTTTTTGTAGGATAACGGAGAAAATCCTGGTCCACTAACAAGTAAGCCCTTGGATATTTCCCTTGTGATGGACAAGGATACGTCACTGGATATTCCGATATTCGTATATCCAAAAGGATCTTCATCTTATAGTTTTGAATACAAAGACGACAAATTAACAGTTCTGAAAGGCCCAATATCTGTCAATACTGCCAAACCAAAAGAGATAGTAGATTCGCTTCAATTAAGTGGAGGTAAGATTTCAGCGTCAATTCGTAATTAAGCTTAGTGTCCTTAACAAGGCTTTCGTCTCCTTTAATATGACATATATGTTTAAGAGTAATAATTTAAACATAAATAACATTTGTTTCAGATTTATCAGAACATTTTACTGCAACATACAATACTGCTACATCCGAGGTTGAACTAACAGTAAAAACTAAAGTTGAAAATCCCACATCTGCATCTGTAGTATTGACTCTGGGCTTGAAAACTGACATCGCCGCGGCCACTCCAATACTTATTTATTTCTCAGACGCACCTGTTGATACGGGTCCGAAGTTTTCACAACACGTCTACATCGGAAACTATGACGATATCAAAAACACAATCAGTTTAAAAGACGACATTAAAGTCACCACCACTAGTACTGGTCAACTAACATTTAACATCACAGGAGGTAAGTTTATTATAGATTCTAAATAAAAAGGATTTGTTGTACTAATTTTTGGCTAGGAATCTCTATACCCTTTAAAAATAAACAATTTGTTTTTTCTCATAATTATTTATTAGCAAACTCTACCATCAAAAGTTAGTGATTCATTTGAATTTTACATTGTGCAATACCAGGTTTATTGTATTCCATTAATTTGTACGGAAGTAAAGCATAGTTTCTCTACCTTTCAGTATTCGGGGCCCATTTTTCAATAAGAATTTTTATGGCGCCCCCCACTACCTTTCTTTTTCATATAATAATAAAATACGACGTATATTATGCGTTGAAAATTTTGAGCCTAATCCCCTTAGTGCAGCGTATTATTGGTGCCCTAGACCCAAGTTTTAGTTCCCTAATATAATTACAGACCTTCAAAATTACCGATAATAGGTTAATTTATTGAAACCTGGCAATGGCGCTCTGCTACATCTCATATATAGGTAAAACATAAAACCAGAATGGATGTTTCTCACCTGCTCTCTGTCATTTACAACGGATATAGAACATTCTCGCGGCTTACCGTCACTACGAAAAGTCCAGACCAAAGGGCCATAGAAACAGCATTATCAATCGAAACTACAAGAATTGAGAACAGGGAACTATATATTCCTTCAACTTCAAATTTAGTCAATCAACTTAATGCACAACAAGATGAACGAACTCAATCCAGTAAAACCAATCTTTATTCTACTAACCAGAAACGTAAAACAAAATTAGGACTAGTAGGAATATAAGTGCCTTTTAGTGAACAAACTTCAATGCAGAAGTTCCAAAAAAACAAGGTTACATCGATAAAGTATGTATAACCAGTCTTCTAAAATACCAGCAGTCTGTTCAAAACATTGATTTCAATTCCGAAAGTTCTGATTGAATTAAATATTCATGGTAAACCCTTCCAATTTAAATGTGATACGGGAAGTCCTATCAGCATTATTTCTCAAAAAGATTATCATCGATTGCAACTGGACATTCCCGTTCAAAAAACTGAAGTTTACTTTAGGTCGTATACGCAACATTTATTCAAGCCAATAGGCTTCGCCAAAGTTCAAGTTACATATAAGCATAAAATTATCACGGCAGATCTGTACATAGTTCCCAATTATGGTAGTGCTATTATTGAAAGAAGATGGATAAGAGAATTAGAAGTAGATTTGTATAGCGTTTCATCAGTCTCCCTCACAAATATTTTAGGTCAATTTCAAGATATCTTTAAACCAGTAGTTGGCGCTATTCCAGATTTCAAATGTACATTAAAGCTCCGTTCTGATGCTAAACCAGTCTTTTTAAAACCTCGAAGGGTACCTTATGCACTTTAGGAAGAAGTTGACAAAGAACTTGATTCCTTAGAAAAAGAAGGTATAATTACGAAAGTTGATTATTCAGAGTGGAGTACTCCTTTAGTCGTAATGCCCTGTATTTTGATGACATACTGGTCCAAGTTTCGTCTATATCTTAATGTATACTTCGACTAATTAAGGTATTGGAAAGACTACTTAAATCCAAGCTTTTCTTCAACAGATGCGAGTCCATATGGATTGGCAGGAGTTTTATCTCATCAATTCAAAGATAGTACATAGAGGCCAATAGCTTTTATATCCAGATCTTTAACCAAAGCCGAACAGAATTATAGTCAGCTAGACAAAGAAGGTACTGCACCACTTTTTACAATTTTATATCCACAAAAACAACTACCAACCTAGAATGTTACGTTATGCGCAGTTTTAAGCTGGATTCAACTATGACATCGAAGGTAGAAAGTCTTCAGAACATTTGAACGCAGATTATTTTTCAAGAAACCCTATTAAATTAACTCCAGAAAATTAAAAATACATCGATAGCGTATATTTACCAAATATTGATCTATTTCATAAAATAAGAACAAATACTAAAATTTTGCAAGAACTACACTCTACAGATTTAGGAATAGTTAAGATGAAAGCACTGGCCCAGAACTATTGTTATTGAAAAAACATTGATCCTGATATTGAAAATTTAGTAACAAGTTGTTTAGTATGTAGTAACGTCCAAAAAGATCAACGAAATCACCCATACACCATTGGGAATGTCGTAAGAGAAACTGGCAGAGAGTACATATGGATTACGCAGGTTCATTATCTCAGAGAGATTTTTATTGTATGGGTCTACCTGAAATGCTGGTGAGTGACAATGTTACAATATTCAAATCTAAAGAGTTCACAGATTTTTGTATAAGAAATGGGATAAGTCAGAGATTTATTGCACCAGGCCATCCATCTACAAACGGGCAAACAGAAAGATATTGTCAGACACTTAAAGCAAAACTTAAACGAATTATGCACGAACTAGGAGATCTTCATGAAAAATTATGCAGAATATTGTTTAGGTACCGGGTTACACCATTATCATTAGTAAAGTCACTATCTAAAAATTTATTTGGAAGGAATATTAAGATAAAATAAGATTTGTTACGGCATGGAATCAAATGGAAACAACAAAATACTTATATATTTTAAAAAATCCATCAATGTAGGTGACCGGGTACAATCTAGAAACTATTCAACACCTACTAAAAGGAAGTATGGCATAGTAATTCAACGTTTAGGTCGACTACATTATCTAGTGGAACTAAATGATGGTTATAAAATTAAACATCATTATGATCAACTTCGTCCCAGCAATGTTGACCATTCTAATAATTTTTCAAATACTAGTGAGTATACTGATATTGATGATACAATTATGTCAAACGAATTAAGTGTACCCTTGAATTCTAAAGAAAACAAAGATCACGAAACGAATATTGACCATCAAAAATAAACTAGCAAGACTATAATAGCTGACCTGACTCGAGACCTTGAACATGAACCAATTAATTATAAAGAAAACCCCGTTCCACGTCTTCAAGAGAATCAAGACAATCAAATTCCATCACATCCGTACAAACCACCGGAGGTTTTAAGGATATCCACTAGAACCCGTAATCTCACTGAAAGATTAACCTTTTGAATGTCTCAGAATTTACAAGGAGGAGAATTATTATGTAATTAATAGCATTTATAACCTGCATTTTAAGTTAGTCGTTAGTATGAAGACCATTCATATTTTTTTACTTATGGTGCGTTTGATTTGATCATCGGAGATCTCCGAGCGCTGCAATCGTGTTTGAATTGACACTCCGAGATATCCCTAAAGTGTTTGTTTTGCTTTGGAGCGAGTACATAGAGCGAGCTCGATGTTCTCAGAGCAGAAGGATCGAGAAGAGGGAGAAATTTGTCTTTGTCTCTACCTATCTCTTTTTAATTAACTTACAAATAAATTTGAATCTCAAAATTAAAGACCAGACAAGAAGTCAACAAATTACTTAGCCGCTTTTGTCTTATAGCTAAAATTATTCGTCATAAAAAACACAAAATGTGTGTTTGTAATATACATTTTCTCTGTCCAGATCTAATCACCAGTAATCACAGCCATGGAGTATGAGAGCAAAGCGGGCATTTGTGGTATATGCTGCATTTCAGGGCCATTACCCCTTTTTATTTAAAGTTTTTCCATTTTCTTTTCTTTTTGCTCACTATTTTAACACACAAACCAGAAACAAAAATAAGAGAAAAGCGAGGTTATGTTTTTTACTCTGTTTTATTTGATTTGATTCAATGCTCTATTGTGACGTCATCACTTCTCGGTTTCCTCGATGCTCCCTCGATAGAGTTTCTAATCAAACGCCCCTTTTATTCATGTCGAGATATTTTTTGTAACGTCAAAGCTTTATAATAAATATCATTTAAATCAATACAAAATAAACTCCATGTAGCAAATACACATATGTTGGATAGCAATGATAAAGATAGTGCTTTTTGTAGAGAGTTGGAGCAGTGGAGCAGAACTGTAAAAAAAAACTAGAAATGTGTATCTTCATCTACTTACCTCTTACTGTTATTATTTTGGGTTCAACAATTTCACTACTTCATTGAGGCTCTTTCCACGGCACAACGCTTTCGTTAAATGAATTTAAACAATTGAAAAGGATACAAATCCGAGCTCTATGAACCCGTTTGAACAGGAATTTTCTTGTTTTTATACCACGTGCATATCGTAAACACGTATTTAAAACTAATTGTAATTAGAAAATGTAATAATTTAAATAATATAATTACAAAGTACAATTTGTCCACAAATTTTGCTGCAATTACAATTCCAAATTACTTTAAGAAAAAAAAGTACTTAAATACAATTTACAAATTACATGGCGCCTCCCTGGTTTAGAAACGCTGAAGTAAAGAAACTAGGTAAAAATGTAAAATTACACAAATAATCTTAATATTTATAGTAATAAAACGTTTTTCGATTTAAAAAGCTTTAAAACTAACTAAAAATGTTATTTTTTAATTCTCAAATATTATTTTAGATCTGGCGGACAAATTCGAATTGAAGTCTGAAAAAAATACCTATACACTGACTGTAAAAACACCGTTGACGCCAGCTGAAATAAAATCCAAAGAATTTTTATATTTAACTCTTGAGGCTTCTGTAGATTCTGAATCGGACACATCTGGTTTAATAATCACTCTACCGATACACGATCTTGAGTTTACTAATGTTATGTACGCCGCAACTTACACTGAAGATAATACGGTGTCTGTAGACGAAACGCAGCCGATTGATTTCAAAACAAAAGTTTCCGATGCTTCTGTTAGTGTGGAAGATAGTAAGTAATATTTTTTAGTAATAATAGTAGTAGCCATTTTTTAAATTAAACATGAAGACAGCATAGGTCGTGTACAAATCTAGGTCACCGACTATTGACTCGCCAATGTGGTCAAAATATGATTTAAAAACATTCTCTCAACATTTTAAAGTAGTCTTTTGGTATATTGGCTTCTAAAATATTCAAAAATACCCATAGAAATAATATAGAAGACCAATATAAACATAACATTTAAGCAGAAATTGAAAACTACTGTGCATAAAAAAGCGTCTCTGCGCCTGACATCGCAAAATAGTGTGTCTAGAAGCTTGCGCAATATGCATGACTTGTCCCTGTAGTGTTGCCAAATATATTAAACATACCTAACAGAAAAGAATTTTAAATTAATTAATTTTTAAATTATATGATTTAAACAGTTTATATCTACGAAATATCGCCACAAAATAACTTATAAACATTTAAATAATCAACTAATAATATTTATGTGTAATTACATTCCCAAAAATATATACAAATACCGTATTAATGTCATTAATACCGTATTTTTAATGTTCAATAAGCGATTCACCTACAAATTCAATATTGATCTGGCAATAGCACTAAAATCCGGTGTTTCAAGGCTATATGACGCTGCCCTTACAGGACCGTTTGTAGTTTATTATTTATGCCGCGTTTGAGAATCCACATCGGATGCATCTGAGATGTAGTAGTAGTAAATCTTTGATCACGTGATTCAGTATACGTAAATGTAATGGGACAGATGTGTCCGATGTGGATAAAAAACGCTAGAGATGTTAAAAATGCATCCGATGTGGATTCTCAAACGCGGCATTAATTACTTGATGAAAGTGGCATTTTATTTTTAGTTTTGTGTAGTGTTTAGTCAAATCCTAGGTACACTAAAAGACTTTTTTACATTGGCTAATGAAAATGTAATCAATGTATTAGGCAGCTGTTATATTTATTACAAGATTTATGTCTGCAAATCTAAACCTACCTAAGAATTATAATTATGTAAATAGAGAGCTGTATATTTATATACAGGCTGCCCAGCGACGGGGAGACATTATCGATATCGGTTTTAAGGCATTTTAAAACATAAACCCGATCTCAACAATCTTAGGAACTCTTCTGTCACTCGATATTTTAATCGGTACTTCCTCTTCGCTTTTTGGCTGGCACAACAATTATTTACATTTCTTCATTCCTTACCGCGTTCGAACCAGTAAGGTTTAAAGAAATTTAAAAAAAAACCTACTTTAAAAATAAAGATGTTAATGATTTTCTTATGGATCCCATCTTCAGATCTTGACTTAATGTATATAAAACTGTTTCCTTTTCTAACAAAAAGAATCCTAGAAATCGGGCAACGTGGTAAAGAATTATCGCTCAACGTACTTAAAAAAATATTTCAACGAATTAAGAATATCCTACCATTTTGAAGTATGTTAAAAAAAAATTGTTAATAAAGTGAAAAGTAGGGCATGAACATATATTATAAAGTATATAAAATGATAGATAAATCCAGTTTAGAAGGTATTATAAATAAACTGTGGAAATATGGAGAATCTCGATTTTGAATCGGAAAAATATTCTACGCAATTTAGTACGAAAGCTAATCAAAATGAAACACATGAACGACAAACTGTTATTGACAACTTTCTTCAAACGTTTTTTATTTTTCCGAAAACTAATTAGATAGTCCGAAAATCATTTCCTTCGTTAAAACGCCTCTTGTTCCGAAAAAGGTACACGCCTGTCAACATTCATCGTTCATTAAAAAAGTGGTAGATACAAAACGCTTCGTATTGTAAGGCCAAAATATATTTAGAAATCGAAATAGTCATATAAACAAAAAAATCATATGAGTGAGATAACTACCAAATTAATGATTTACAAGTTTATTCCTATTATTTATAAAATAGGTTTGCAATGTATTGGTGTGGAATGTTATCATCGACTAAAAACTTTAAATCTTTGTATTAAATTGATCGAGGTTCAAAATTAAAATAAAATATGTACCAAGCAAATGTAGTAGTATTTTTTAATTTTTTAATTTATATTGAAAATGGTAACATGAAAGGTTTTCTGTCTAACGACTCATAGTCTCGGCTGACAAAATGTAAAAAAATATCGAACATAATATTCCTGGGCCCTATTTTGCACTCTCCAGATTAAATTTAGTTGTTGCAAATGATATTATCAAATAAGATGTCAAATCACAAGCAAAACCTCGTGACTACAGTACTAATGATTGCCTGTTTGGAAAAGTATCTTTGTTTGTAAATATTTATATGCATAGTTATATTTAAATGCGCGAGTGTAATGTTAAGTATAAACAAAATCCGCCCATTATGTATATTCGTTTAGTTACCGACCCTAGTAGATAGGCAATTTGTTATTGTTTTAAGTTTTACCGTAGGGAGAGAGAAAATCAATATTAGGATAAATGGTCCAGCTCCTTTCTGGTTACGTAGGTACCTAAAAAGTATTTTAGTTTTTGGTTAAGTAATTAATTATTGTAACAGTGATTTTCTTGTGATAGTACCTAATTTAGATTGTGGATTAAAGTTTTTGTATATAATTTCGCTGTTTAATAATAAACGTAGTCAAAACCGGAGCACGTGGTTTTTCTGGAAAGTATTTTTAAAATCACAAGCAAAATATCATGACTACTGTACTAATGATTGCCGAAAATTAACTAATTCATATTTTATGCCATATCTTTCTTAATCAGGACTGCCAGAACCATATTTACCTTAACTTGAAATTTTTTTAATCGTTTTTTGTATAGAATCATCTCTAAAAATGTATGATTGAAATGTGTGAACTATTTGTTCGATCAATAAAAAACTTGCACCGGTCCTGTTCGCGCCAGCACCGTTATACGCATGAGCTCCGACACACTATTTTCTCCTTATGGTTTCATTTTTGATATATGGAATCGGCTTTCTATACTATTTCTATGAAAATACCGAAGATCTGTAGGTAGATAATATAACTAAAAAAAATTTGTTTTAGAATACTCAAAATACTTCAACGTAACTTATAAGAATGAAAAATATAACCTTGGTGTAAAGGAAGCCCTATCAAAAGATATTCTGACATCAGATACGGAAATAGCAGTTATCATCACAGCTACAGATAAATATGGCAATGTAGCAAATGCTGTAATAAAAATAGCTTTACCTAATATAGATGGCCCAGAACCACCAAAATTTAAAGATCCATATTATACAATCCAATATAAGGAAGGTCAGACTGGATTTATAGATTTTGATAATGCTGTGTCTTTCGACAAAACCGTTGACGACATGACTAAAGTTTCTATTTTATTAAGCGGTGAGTATAAACACAACACATATTACCAAATTCGTTAAAAATAAATCACATCTACATACCTTCATAACATTCACAACATATATTTAAAGAGGACATTGTAGTAAGTGTTAAGCTACCTATATCTAAGAAACACTGAAAAAAAATGTAAGTACTAAACATAAGACACAGTAAGGCCCGATTGTACGAAGCAAGCTAAAACCTAGGTTCAGGTGAACTCGGTAAATGGTTGAACTTACTTTAAAAATTGGTATGAATTGTACATACCCCGCTCAATGTCGGTTTAGATCTTAGATAAAAGAGACCGAAGATGTAATATTGCACACTGCGCATGTTGTCTGTTTTAACTCCAAGTAACCCACCAATTGAAAATCATTGTTTGCACGACGCCACCCGAATTGCTCCGATTTCCCATTCAACGCTCACCTCCACCTGAGTTCAGTCACCATTGACAGCTGTTTTTTGATTTATTTGTTGGTGTTTTAGCAATTTAAAGTGTTGTAGTTATTTAATTTTAAACTCAAAATGCCACAATGTATCTTGAGAAATTGTATATACTTATAATACAAGTACCAATGTTATGAAATATAAAAAATATATTCGTTTTCATCGGTAAATATTTATTAACGTTTTGACATAAAGCGCCATAATCCTTTGAGCTGAATACATCAGATCCGCATTAAGGGGTTTCAATAAATATTCATCAAATACATATTTCAGGAAACAGATTTCGTATTACTTACATAAATTTACAAAAGGATAAAATTTTAAATATTTAATTTTGTTTTTAAAAAGTAGTTTCTATAAGAATATTTACTAAAGGTGGTTTTTAGCTCTTTTTGGTAGATAAATAAGAAGTAAAAAAGCATAGTTGATTAGTAGTATTTTTATAAGAATATTAGATAAAATACAGGATGAATAACTTAAAATTTCAAGATAATGTAATAATCGATTTTAAAGGAAATACAAAAAGAAAGTAGATTTATTCAAAATAATCGATTTATTGAAAATAATGGATTTTTGAAAAAATCGATTTATCGTTTAATCGGTGTTTTAATGAATCGATTATTTTCGATTAATCGATTATTTTCGATTAATCGATTATTTTCAAATTTTCAAAGGTATTATATGAAAATAATTGATTGATCGAATATAATTCGTTATTTTATATAACCAATATTTCGGTTATTTTTTAGAAATATCGATTTATCGGTTAATCAGTTTTTTAATAATTATTAATTATTTTCGATTTATTGATTTTTATCGATTATTTTAGATTTTTCAAAGATAATAGAAAAATCAATTTTAAAGGAAATATGAAAAGGATTATTAGAAAATAATCGATAATTCGGTTATTTTTTTGGAAAATAGATTTATCGTAGAATCGGCTTCTTAACTAATCGATTATTTTCGGTATTTCAATGATAATCTAATCATCGATTTTAAATGAAATACAATAAAAATAAATTATTGATAATAATCGACTATTTTAGATTAATCGATTATTTTCGAATTTTCAAAGGTATATGAAAATAATCGATTGATCGATTATAATCGGTTATTTTATATAACCAATATTTTGGTTATTTTTTAGAAATATCGATTGATCAGTTAATCAGTTTTTTAATAATTATTATTTTCGATTTATTGATTTTTATCGATTATTTTAGATTTTTCAAAGATAATAGAATAATCAATTTTAAAGGAAATATGAAAAGGATTATTAGAAAATAATCGATAATTCGGTTATTTTTTTGGAAAATAGATTTATCGTAGAATCGGCTTCTTAATTAATCGATTATTTTTGGTATTTCAATGATACTCGAATTATCGATTTTAAATGAAATACAATAAAAATAAATTATTGATAATAATCGATTGATCGAAAATAATTGATTATTTAAAATAATCGACAATTCGTTTTTTTTGAAAATCGATTTATCAGGTAATCGACTTTTTAATTAATCGATTATTTTCGATTTTTTAAAGATTATCGAATAATCTGTTTCAATGGACGAAAAAAATGGATTATTTGAAAATAATCGATTATTTTCAGTGATCGATTATTTATTTCGACAATCACTCATCCTTTATATTAATTAATATTCCTAAAGAAAGAAGCTGAGGTTACAATACAAAACAGCATTTTCTCATTTTGACTCATTTTTAATATTATGTAATAGCCGTTATGTTGTAGTTGACGGGTCTAGAAATGCGCGCGTTCACACCACTCTGCATTGACGTCTAGAATTTGAATTTGCACAAGCCACGTTGCCAAATCTCCACTTTAGTTTAGCTTGTTTTATTTTATAGTTTATTTTTCAACCAAATTGCAACCTCTGTACATTAAAATGTATGATAAATAAATATAGAGATTTATATTATATTTTAAAATAACAATTCTGTTTTGTTTTATAAGACAGTTTTGATAGATTTTAGATTTAAATTTTGTAATTATCACTATTGAAAGGTATTATTCACATTAAAAAACGATCGTATTACTTGAAAATCTTCAGAACATTTTTTTATTTTTATGGGTTTTTTAATCGATGTAAAAATTGGTAAATAGATGATTAAAAGTAAAATAGTTATTTCAATCTGCTTATTCCCTGTTTCCAAATAATTAAATAAAACCTGGCAACTCCGTAACGATTCCGACTGGCAGAACTAGCCGGAACAGGAATGGTGCGCACTGGCCCATTTCCAGACCCTTCAACTGCAACATAACCTTTATAATACTCGTAGACAATGAGTACCATTTCTTGCTCTATTAACAATATTCTATTTCTGAAAAGTCCATAGTAAATAAACGCTAACGAAATATTCTATAAAAGGTCTTCTCTTTACATAAAATGTCGTGCATCTGTTTGATATTAAAAAATCACGTTAATTTTATTTCATAATACAAAATTCCATTGAACATATATTTTAAATAAATCTAATGGTTCATTATGATGCTAATAAACAAAGTCCGGTCCTTGTCACAGAGTTCGGGTCTCTGCACAGTTCCCCCACTCCGTTAACCTTTCTTTAGAAATTGGCAACATTTGCGCAGGTTAAACACCGGTGTATGTTATATCTCTGGTCTCTTTTATCTAAGGTTTAGATAAACTTCATTGTTCAGGGTTGCCAGATTTTAATTTTACTAAATACGTAGTGTATCTTTGTTTCTCTTATTAGAAAATAAATGAGCTATATAAAATGTCATTTTTGGCATTTTTACTCTAAAATTATTATTTTTAGAGGTTATACGTAGTTTTCCGTAGATCCTTTTCCAAACTGATAATATAAAGAACGCCAAACTTCACGCATGCCGAAGAAGGACTAGTGAAACTAGTGAAAAAATATAAATACATTTTAGAAAATAAAAACACATATGTGAATGTAACGCACAAGAAGAATGAGTGCTGGATAAAAATTAAAAGTGAATTTAATTCACAAATCTTTGTACAAATTCAGTATTGTTTCACTTCACAAAATGATTATCCCTTGGTCTATATATTTATGGTTGTCTTTCTGGTTGTTGTAAGACATTTGCTAATACTAAAAAATCCTCGTTTTTAGACATTTCATCCATTTTTACGAAACAACTTCTATTAATTAGGAATTCAGTAATTCGTATATATCTTGTTTTCTATTTATCTACCTACGGTGTACGGTAACGTATAAGGTACCAACCCAAAAAATATTTTTTTTGTAGTGTGTTACCACTAGCTAAATTCAAAAATAGGTCTAAACTCGGTTTAAGCGCGGAAACATGACCGCTTTGTTGAACCTATTGGGATCTGAAGATAAGCGATACGCCCTCTACTGTGAACTAAAAGTTATGCTATTTGACACTTGACCGTCTGTGTTCTGTCCAATGAAGTGGAGAGGAGTAGAATGATAACTGTCAATGAAAAAGTCTGGACACTATGCACAATTTCGTTTTGCACATTTTGTAAACAAGATTCAGGGACGGTTTAACAACATTTTGTGCAACAATTATATAATAGTGCATCGAAAAATAATTAACAAGTATAATTTAATACTAAATCAGAATAAAAGCATGAACAATCACAAATATAAGCAAGATAACAAAGAAATGACGCCAAAAAAGCTTACAACTGCCAAAACACAAACAAAAAGAGAGCTGAATATGAACAGTTATCGCTGAATAAAGTCAATCCTGGAATTTGTTTACAGTGCTTTAGGGCAACCTCTCCTTGTTATTTACGTGAGTAAGAGTGGAAGGCTGAATCACGCATAATTTCTACACTCGTGATAGATGCGCAGACGGTACCTTATCGTTCTACCCTCTCTACTTCTTTGGTTCTGTCAAGTTTTGTTTATTGTTTATCACATAGAAAAATAATAAAGTTTATCAGGTCATTTCAATATTTTAAAATTTAACAAGTATTTTGTTTGAAATATCTTATTTAATAATAAGCTAATGCTTTAAATTTATATCATATATATTAAAATATTATTTTATTTGAACTATAAGTGGAATATCAGTGAAAAACACACTTGTTGGGTGCCTGGATGCAGCCCTAAAAAAAATGGACCTTCTTTTACATTTCATTTGCTTCCTAAAGTTGGTAAATGTAGAGTAATTTTTATAAATTGCAAGTGGAAATTCTGCAAGAAATGCATGGTTACAAAAATTAAAAATTGAGAAGCATTTTAAAGAAGATGATTTGCCTAGAGGTAATATAGATTTATTTTGCGATTGAATGTTTTTATTTTACCTTTTTTTTGTGTTGTAGATGCCTCATCCAAAGTGAAAATAAATATAAAAAAATCGATGTGTCTTCCTGCCAGTTTTTAAGTAAATGTTTGACGATTCTGTTCAATAAACTTCAAAATCAAATATTGAGAGAACAAAAAGAAGATCCAAACCACAGAATAAAGATTTTGTGTCCAAACTAAAAAAAGTTCAATCAGTGTTAAATGTGATAGTGAGATTAAACAAAGTCATAGTTGAGAGTGATTTGTTTCAAGATAACCTAGCTACTCACGCC